CTGATGTAAGAGCCTGTTTTGTATCTTACGTGGTTGATGCTAAGATTCCTCTTGGATCAGACATACAATGCGGATAAGAAATTATGGCAAGAGAATAATAAAGCAGCTCTTGAAAAGTGGTGTAACGACAACGCGGAGTTTGCAAATAAATTGTACTAGCCGAGGATGGAACCCGGGACCTTCAGCTTACTCTCGTTCAGCATCTACACCAACCCGTTGAGCAATGAGCGTCTGCCGATTGGCAGTGGTTCTCCCATCAACGTGGATGCGGCTGTGTTGGAGAAATGGCGGCAATTATTAATACAGCAGATCCTACTCGCTGGCTCGAGGACTGCTATCGTGTTGAATGACATTCTCGAATCGAGTGCTGCTCCTGGGTTGAGATCGGTAATAGTTGTAGACAGGAACTCCCTCAGTAGTACTTCTGTATAGTATAGTAAGGGCGCCTAGTTGTCGTGATGCTGTGGATAGTAGCAGTGGAGTTGGCAGTAAACCCAGCCGTTGTGGCTTTCTTTCTCTATAGTGTTTTTACTGAGGTCCTCCTTATTTTTCCACTTCCATTGCTAGAACTCATGTTTGGAAGAATGATGTTCCTGGGCAGACTGTGAATATTTTATCTCGGTGGTTAATCTGTTCAGGGTAGTATCGTGTCACCACCGCCGGTGAATGATATCGAAATTGACGATGTTGAATTTGGAGATCAGCCAGCTCGAAGGACGCGAAAATTGGATACTAAATCGGACATTCTGCTGCAGCTTGCCGTCCTCGCGGTGGTCGTTGTCATTGCTATGGGAGTTTACTTTGCATTTGTGATGGTAGCGAAGAAGAAGGGGAAAGTCGGGGAGGCCGGTGGGCTCAAGTTGCCGACGGTTATGCAGGGTAAAAAACAAATGATTGATTGAAGTGGAATTTTTGTGGCGAAAATCTTCGCGGTGCGGTTGTAGGGATATCTTTACTGCTGTTATTGTATTAAACTGATATGTTTTGTATCTTTCGGGAGATGCGGTAGTGCAATTGGTTGTTGAGTTTAGTGGCGAACTGAAGTGTGAGGCGATCTTCTTTTTTCGGGGTAGAATGTAGACTTTTGGTAACATGAAATTGGGGTGATCCTAGGAATATACGGCGCGTGTCAATTCGATATGCCAATGTGTGTAATTTCCGTACGATAATGAGAATCAAAATGAAACTACATCGCTACGTCTCTGAGCATGTGATGAAAGTACCCGTTAGGGACTATGATAACGACAACTTGTTCACTATAATTTGCCCTCCAAATTAACACACATTTGCATATCAAATCGGCGGACACTGTATGATGGTTCACACTGATAACTCTATAGTATGCTCTTAGACGATTTTTGACTGAGAATTTTGGCTGTGGCCCGTCCGTTTGAATGCTATTTTCAAAACAAGAGGTTGCTCATGTCGCTTGATGTGGATCGAAAATATATTTTATCAGTGACCATTGTATTCTGACGGAATAGTTTTGTAGTTGTGCATGCGTGCAGATAATGAACAGTCTCTTCCTCTCGGCAACAGCACTCAA